TTCGGGCGGCAGTATACGCCATGAAGTGGTTTGCGGCCTGCCAGTAAACCCAAAGCAGAAGAAGAAGAAGTGACGTCAGCGGCTTCATTTGACTAATCCTCTCTCAGGGAACTTATTCCGGTGTGAACGCGATCTGTACTTAGTTCCATTGGGGTACTAAGTGCTGGGAACTAAGTACGGCAAAGTACTTGGTGTGAAAGCGGCTTATGAGACACATTCCCCTACTTATTATTTGATGTTTTACCTTAAAAAAAACATTTGTATGACATTTGCTAGTATCAAGTCCTCTTCAATACAGAATGACTCATTTTGTAAATCATTTTCCCATTTAGAGTAAAATAGATAATAAAATAGCTTATGCTTTAGGGCGGGGCTACCACTGCATTGTCCAGTCAGGATGCTCTCTGTGTTTTAAAACATGAGTTGTAACATTTTGTTGCCTAAAAATGTGTTGTTGAATATTTAGTCGTACTTTTGCCCTTGTGTCACCATCTTGTTACAGAAAAACAAGATGGCGACGGACAAAAAGACAGACTTAAAGACTTCAAAACCATCGTCTACAAAACAATGGGTTACGTCCCTGTGACTACAACCATTTATTTCATACAGTCTGTGATTTTAGGACAGATGTTTAATGACTCGTTACCTATAAAGTACACCTTGCTGCCAACAAAGCAATTACCACGTGTGTAAAAGTGTTGCAGAGCTGATGCAGGTAGCTGTGTGACTAAAATAGAGTCCAAGCCTCTCCGTCTCGTCTCTCTGGATCTAGAAGTTCAGAACACCTCAAATAACATCTTTAATCAAATCTGACAGCTACACGGGATAAAAATAGCCTCATAGTGAACATTAACGGACACTTTTTAAGAGCCTGATGCGAGCCAATGAGCAGCGAGAACACAGATGACGAGACTTTGACGACGCAATATCCTCAGCCAATCAGGGGGCAGACAGAAAAACTTGTGCCCAATGACATCGAGCGAGCGGTGGCCTTGCAGAGTCACCGCTCCATCACATTCAGACACAGTGACGTAAAAGGAAGGAAATGTCATGTCAACGCTCCTCCCTCCTGACTGCATGCATCTTCCTCTTGCTGTTTGACCTTCACTTCCCTCTGTCCTTCTCTTTCATCCCTTTCTGTCTTTCCATCTCTTCTCGTTTCCTCTTATCTGACTTTTCCTCTCTCCTTCCACCCCTCTGATTTAACTCCCCAATGTCATCTCTCCCTCTCTTCCCTTCTCTGTATTTTCCCAGGCGATGCAGAGGCACACAGAGTTAGACGACATGTCAAGGTCACAGCTTAGTGAAGCTGCATCAGGTATGTCGAGCACACACAAGGTTAAACAGCCTTTCTGTCAAAGATAGGGACTCACACCATGTTTTGGCACGATGGTTCGACTTATCTCCTCACAACATCTGTTTGTGTGTAGCTCGGTTTTAAAACACAGATGGAATATCAGCATAAATATCTGTTGTTTTTTCCAATATGCAAATCAAATATTCTGACTCTGATATGCAAATGTGCGATTCTCCCCAATGTCATGTCAGGAATAAACGCAGTTAATAACATTTATTTAAATTCGTTAATCCTCAGTTGATTTTTTTGGCTCAGTTGTAAATTCGCTTTTTGGAAGCATTTCAAAATGTTTCCTAATTGGTTTGTCTATGCTTGATGGGAGAACAAATTCAATAAAGTAGTAAATTAAGTGTTATTCTAATAATACATTGTGTGTAACATTTACAAGTTATAAATACCAAAGCCTTTTACCCACACGTTCACACTTTGATGAAGTAGAACAGTCAGTGGGATGTTACGGAAAATGGTTTTGAAGACTCGATTTTGGTCACCATTTTGGCGGCCACCATCTTGTTTTTTGGAACCACAGGTGACACAAGGGGTGTTTCTCAATGTCGAGTAAAGCTGCTCCAGAGCCACTATTTCAAGCATACTACGTCATTGAGTGCCGACGAAGGACTGTCCCAATGTCCAGCATACTTGGAATTCTACCGAGCCCGGCGTACTTCGTAGCGAGAAATTTCGAGGCTGCACATGTGTAGATTCCGCGGTCTTAAAATCCCCACAATGCTTTGCACACGGACCAATTTCCCCAAATCTGTGGCAGAAAATGTAAGGCGGGGCCTCTCATATGACGCACACCTGCACACTTGCTCGCCTGTTCCACTCTTCGTTTTCCGAATGCCAGGAAGTATTCTTGCCTAGCTTCTGAAGGACTTTAACGCGTTAATTAAGATTAATTAATTACACAAAAATTAACGCGTTAAAAATTAAACGCATTTTAATCGCACTTATTTTTGTCACCGCGGAACGTTTCTCACTGGATGAGTTTCGGGGGTACCGATTATACTGGAGCACCAACTAACGTTCATTACTTCAGACAACAACAAACCACAGTGAACAATAGTCAAACGTGAACGAAGAAGACTGATGAGACCGCTTTGGTTGGCCCCGTGAATGGGACATTTTGTTTTAAAAAACGGTACGGATGGAAGC